AAGCTTGTAAACACACCCCAAGGGGGGGGAGCTCTCAAACACTTCTCTAGAGCTCCGTTCCCTTCTCTCCCTCAAATTCTCTTAGTTTTGCTTTCTAGTTCTCAATTCTAGCTTTCTTTAATGTTTTCTTAGTTGTAATTTATTTTTCTTGTAATGTACATTCTTTCTTAAGTATTCAAGTTTAATTAGTTTCCAAGTTTCAATTATGGTTTTTGTTCTTATTCATTATGCTTATAAGTTAATATGCTAGTTTGAATGATTGATCACCATTTAGGCTTGCATGTTAGCTATCTTGGTTTGAATTAAGAGTATACACCATGCTTTAATTCGAATTGAACTATGAATAGGAAGAGTATGTATGGACATTCGACAACAGGGATTAGATACATGCTTGGTTGTTTAAATTGTTCTTCTATGCTTAATGGGTTCCTAATGCTTAATTTTAGGTTAGACAACAAATGATCAAATTAGGGAATTAGGAACACAAGGTTATGACCACACACCATGGCTTAATCATACTTTAGCTAGAATCAATCTATTAATCTAATTGAACTTGGGAACTTATCTACTTGAGTTAGTTATTTTCTTTCTTTCTTGTTTTATTTATTTCCTTTCTTTTTCATTTCTGTTTTGTGTAGGGAAATGAATTGGATCATTCAATCACCAATCCTCGTGGGATCGACCTCGCCCTTACATATGCTATACTACCAAACGGCTCGTGCACTTGCGAGTATCACAAGTTGAGGATGCAGCTGAATCTATTTTGGTGCAGCTGAAATCCACACAACACATCCCCTCTGGCAGAGACGACAATTTTTGACATGAACCAATGATCAACTTTGTGAGTGACGTGAAAATTGCAAACCACTCAGGTAATGCCTCCAAATTCTCACACATGCCAATAAGCAAGAATTGAAGGGTGTTAGCTGCTCCTTGAAACCATTCAGGCAATGCCACCATCCGTGGTACATAGGAAATAAATAATTTTTGGAGCCTCAATGGAGTTCCTTGATAGTTTACGTTCCCCAAATCCAGTTGTTTGCATTTTTCTATCCATAGAGTCCGTAAGGAAGCGAGATAGCTCATTTCACAAGGCAAAGAGGTTAAATTACTACACTTGGTAATATAAAGAAATCGAATTGATTTCAAGCATCCCGCCCCATTCTCTGTAAAACTTGTTTGTTTTGTTGTTAACCAAAGTGATGTGAGGCTGATCAATTTGTTTATATCTCTGGGCAACTCTTCAAGATTCACACACCCAATAAGATTTAGAGTTTGCAAGCTCTGCAGTCTGCAAATTGCATTAGGGAGTTTCGTTATTGCTTCATTATAACTCAAGTCCAGATATCTCAAATGTTTCAGGGAACCCATGGGACTTGGCAACACTTGTAATGAACATCTAGGTAACTCAACCACTCGCAAATACTTGAATCTTGAAAAGCAAGTGTGAAGGAAGGATTCATCAATGTCTATTATGTTTGCTGCTACAGTCCGCACTTTGTTCAACTTTTGCAAGGTTGTTGAAACATTTTGGCCACCTTCCAAAAATGTCAGATGTCTAACATTTTCAGATATGTCTTTGGTGTTTGCAGACTTCAGTGTAAAACCCTCACCTTGTGCAACTGACTGTACAAGATCATGGATAAGATCATGCATATCAAATTCGTATAACACATGATAATCAATAACGTTTTGAAAGAAAGATCTCGCCCATAAATCCTTAAAATAGAGCTCTCCGATGTCTTCCAACTCCATATTCCCATGAACACGAGACTGATCAAGGATTCCATGTGCCATCCAATATCTGATCAATTGACAACTATTAAATCCAATCATATCCTTTCGTAGATGGGAACAATAAGCAAGACATTGTCTCAAATGAGGAGGCAATTGGGTATAACTCAATTTCAAAGCAGGTAAAATGTGACCACTACCTTCCCGTTCTAATTTCCATATCTCAGAATCTCTCACCAATTTCCATTCTCGTTCATCAGTCTTTGAGTATAGTTGACTCCCTAAAGTTTTCACTGCCAATGGAACCCCTCTGCACTTTCTGACAATATCTTTTCCCATTTCAAAGAGGTTTGGATATTGTTTGTCATGTCCCTCTTTAAAAGCACATTCTACAAACAATGACAAGCACTCCTCAAAAGAAAGAAATTCTAAATTAATGTTTGTTGGAATGGTACCCATGATCGAAGCAACTGAGATATTTCTTGTCGTCACTAAAATCTTACTTCCTGACTTGGCTCCCTCTGTCACTAGATCTCTCAACTGACTCCACTTCAAAGCATCATCATTCCAAACATCATCCAAGACAAGCAGAAATTTCTTATCCTTTAAAGCTTCACGTAGCCTTCCTTGCAAGATATCCTGAGTCAATTTATCACTGATCACTGTATTTGATGCAGAACCAAGAATCAGTCTCGTCAATCTAGTAAGTTCAAAGTCCACCGGAACAGATGCCCTCATCCTCAATTCGAAATGCCCAACGACCCTTTTATCATCGTACACGCATTTGGTAAGTGTAGTCTTCCCTAAACCGCCAATCCCCACTACCGGAATGACAGAGACTTTATTATTAGAATTCCCACTTTGATCATCATCACCTTGTTGCATCAACAGATTTACAATTTTTTCCTTCTCAGACTCTCTACCAATAACCTTTGAAGCAGGAACGAAGGGTCTTTCATGATGATCACC